TATTCATCAGATTTTTATCTACAAAACAGAATTATCTAAGTACATTGTGTCAGGGATGTTTATTATTATCAGTCACTGTGATGTTGGAAGATGACCACTTGGAAAACTGTTTTTAGGGATCTGAAACACTTCACAGGGCTATTCTATGTGGGCACATAGCAGAGTGTTTATCAGGAGTTCTGAACACATTGGACAAGACTCTTCCTGTATCAACCATTAATGCTTCCAATTTCCATTTTCTTCTGCTTTATTGTCTCATGTGGGTAGCATTCATTAGTGGAGTCTAACTGGACTTTGACTAAGAATTTAGGTGAATGGAGATTTAAGGCATCGTGTCTCTTTGGTACAAGAGTCCTAGATACACATCAACTAATAAGTGGCCCAGAGGGAACTTTATTAACTTGACAATGACATTCCAGACAGCTTAATGGCATAAGATATAGGAATGAAATAGGTAAAACTTGAAAGGAAAAAAGTAGCATTATATATAGGAAATCCAACTGCCTGTGTTAAAATACAAGAATACCTACCAATTTGTACAAACTTAAATTAATACTTGTACCAAGTTAGTTATATTCAAATACATCAGTAAAAGTTAAAATATAAAATTTGAGTATTAGTAACATAATGGCAATATATCAGCTAAAATCCCAAAGAATAACTTAATAGAGGGCAAGTGGGAAAATTACAGAAGAAATAGTAAAACATTTTGGGAAAAAAAGCAGCAGAAGGGGACTAAATTGATAAGTTGATAGATAGATATACCATGTTCATTGATGGAGATATTCCATATGTTGTAACAACAGATTTTCTTATATTAGCCTCTCTAGTACAATTCCAGTGCAAATTCCAATAGTTTTAATATTTTTGATTTTGCAGATTTTTTTATAGTTTTAAATTTTTAACATGATATTTTAATTGTGTGTATGTGTGTGAGGGGAACAGCCTGAGAGAATTTGTTCTTTCCTACCATGTGGATTTAGGGGAGTTGAAACAATATGGTCAGGCTTGGTAGCAAACACTTTCATCCTCCGAGCCATCTCACTGGGCTCTGACCATGGTTTTTGAACTTGACAGGATGATTTTAAATTTCATGACCAAGAGCCAATTAAAAGAAGTGGAAACTCAAAGTAACTAAAAATCATGTTTTAAAGAGAACATAGGATTATCCTATATAAAGCTTAAAGACACATTTTAAACATGACACAGGGATTATTTAAAACAGCAACATATTTTAAGCTGATTATAATAAATATTTTCAAGTCAGAACCCTGAAGACCTGCTGAACATTGTGGTTTTTTTTTTTTTTTTGCTGAATAATTTACTGAATACTGTTTTTCATATAGAAAAAATAAATAGCTCCTTATCTCACAGTAAAACATTAATTTTAGCCAGATTAACGATCAAAGGAGAGAAATTAGAATTTATGGAAAAAATACAAGAGGCTAAAAAGAGTTTGAGTAGGGTGTTCTAGTTGAAAAAAATAAATAATAAAGCATTTCCTGAAAATAAAGACATTTATAAACTTCACAATAAATTTTTAGAATACTGTGCAAGTTGCTGTAAACAGCAGAAGACGGGAAGCCACTGACAGGGACAAAATATTGTCAATAAATACAAGTGGCAAGGATTTTTCCATCTAGAATTTCAGAGAATACAGACATCAACTCCCATCTCTGGGAAAGATCATTGACTATCATTACAATGCAAATGGAATGCTGAAACCTTTGTGTTTCTTGGTTATTACAAATATCCTTTCATTAAGAAAATGGATGAGCAAGTTGGGATTCATTGATGCATTGGACAGTACCTCTGGAAACAAATTCATCTGCCTCACACATACAGAGATAATACTTAAAAATTTAATGTTGAGTGAAAAAGTGTATTTAGATGGGCGCTGGCTACATTATATGCTAATTGTATTTGTGTCCCCCAAGTGTTCAAGCTTTCTCTCAAAAGTATGTTCTATTATAACACACATTCAAAGGGTCATGTGTGGAATTGCAAGCTTAGGATAGCACTTGACAAGGCTGGTGAAATGGTTTGTAATGATAGTCTTTTGCAGGTTTTCATTTAAAGATGTTTGTATACTTTTCATTGACAGCACATTTCTGTTGTATGGTAAAAAATATTATTTTCATTAAACTGCTACATGTCTATCAGAAACTGAAAATGTTTCAGGAAGATATATACTAGAGTGTTGCAATGCTATTAAATGTATTTTGGATTTCTTTTGTTTACTTGTGGTAAAGGTCTAAAAACACACATTGGAAGGGATGGACTATAACTTTAGAAGTTTGAACATGCCAAAGAGGGCTGCTCAAAAATCATCAACATGGTTACTTTTGAGAGAGCTTTACTATGTAGCCTAGAACCCACCATGTAATAAGTTCAGGCTGGCTTCAAACCCGTCTGCCTTGGCCTTTCAAGTGCTGGAATTACAGATGTGAGCCATTATACACAACTTCTTATTTCTTAAAAGACAAATAAAACCCAGAAAATATCAGTAGCAAATGCAAAAAAAAAATGCTAACCAACCCAAATGGGAACATGTGATAGTAGTTTCTACATTCTTACATGTATTTAAAATGCTTTGTAAGTACTAATATATGAAAAAAGAGCACAGAGTTAAAGATATGAGTCAAACAGAACTCTGCTCTGGAAGCCCACTCCATAGTAGCTGGCAGAGCATCCCTGGAGGCTCACTCTGCAGTAGCTGGTACAGCATCCCTGGAGGCTCACTCTGCAGTAGTTGGTAGAGTATTGGGCAGCTGTTTTGAGTGGGCTCTTTTCTGTGACTGTTTATTTCTTTGGGGTAAATGCCTTTCATGCTCCAAATGACATATTTTTGTGCCTTGATAGGTTGGGGGTTTAGCTATCATAAACAAAATATAAATATATTGTCAGAGTCACTTCATTGATTACTTTCAGACTTCTAACTACAATTATGTTTCTAACTTACTTGCCTACTTTAAACATTTAAAATATTAGTGTACATGTGGCATTTTCCTTGATACATTGAGACAGATGAGCTGATACAAGTCACTCATCTGTCAAGGGACTCTGACCCATTTAGCCTTTGATGATGGCTCTGAGCTACTCAAGATACTATAAAGATTTCTGAATCTTCATAGGATAAATTTTTGATCAATGTTTTATAGCTTCTGTGATCAACTTCTAAAAAAAATAAAATAGGGCTCATTTAAGTCAGGTATGTGGTTACCTGTCTGACTGGAGTCAGTTGTGGAACCCCAGAAGACCCTCGTTGTGTCTCTGCCAGTTTCACCCAGGCAGGATTTCCTGGGCATGTTGAGTAAAGCTTCTCTCTTAGAACTGGACAGTTTCTCTTCCTTTGGTCAGGTGCCTTTATGTTGTCTTGCTTATAAAATGTTCATCTTTCCATGCCAAGCACCTATGCCCCCGAGTCAGTGGTGAGGTTAGTGGTAAGTGGCCTTTCTTGTAATTAGATATTTATTTTGGGACAGGTGGAAGCTCAGGATGTTCTTTGCAAACAATGAGCAGGTCTTCATTTGAAAGATTAACTCCATCCCCACTGCTCCAACTGGCAGAATTGCCTGAGCAGAACAAGTTCTGGGGTAAGCTTTCCTGCAGTGTCCCTGCGGCTGTTCAGCTGCTGAAGGAAGCCCAGGCTAGTTCCCCATTGTTGGTTTGTTGACAGCTTTCCCCTGGAACAGTTTGAGGAGTGGAGAGCCCTGTTTCTGAGACAGAGAAGTGTTTTCACAGCTGAAGTGTAATCTCACACCTTGTGTTTCTCAGCAGATAAGTGCATAAAATAACACATCAAACCGGAATAGAAAAAAGATCAATATACAAAGGAAACCGTAGGTTGTAATTTGCTTCCTACCTTACAGTGCTCTGAGAGGAAATTATAGAGATCTGGGTTTATGCTTTTAAAAAGTTTGACTGGTAGTTAGCTGGCAAAGCAAGCTGCAAACACTAAGCTTTCTGCCTGCACTGAACAGAAAGTACAGAATGATGGAACTTAGGTAACACCCTAACATTGTGATGTTTGTTTGTTTGTTTGTTTTTTAAACAGTAGCATACATCTAAGTTAGAAGCAAAAGTTCTAGTCAAAAGTCCAAAAATAATCAATGAAGTGTTTCTGATAAAATGTATTTTTGAGGATAATTTTCTTTGTAATGCTTCATTCAGGAATTGTAGCCAAAGTAGATGATGTTAGTAAAATTTGAATGCTTTCTTTTTCCTTTTTGTAACTAAAAAGAGGACATTGGTTACTACTTCATAGAATTGTAGTGTAAGGGTCTTAAAATGGGAGGTTTTGCTTGATTTCATTATTTGAAAACATGAGATTGAAAGAGAAAAAGGTTTAGCTTTCTGTCTAGTCATGAACATTCATGTTGAAATGATTTGTTGAGAGTCTAGCCCCAGTTAGGAGCTAAGCCAGGCCTGGAGGTACTGTGCTAAGGAAGGCAAACCCTGTCTTTCCCTTTGAGGGACTGGCAGTTTGCAGACAAGAAACCAGGCAGTGACAGTGAGGCTGTGGTGGGGTCAAACTGGGTGCTGGTGGAGGTGGGATCACAAAGATTCTAGAGAAAGGTTTGGTAAAAATTGGAGAAGGTGAATGGCCACTGGGATACCAGGGCGTTGGGAGTGGGGCTGAAGCTTGACTCTGAAAGAAAATCCCCCACATGGAGAAAAGAATGCATATTCATTTTGCCACATAATCAAGCTCTCTCTGGATGGCCACAACCCCCATTGCATATATGCCTTTGTACCTCCATAATGCTCTGTATAAGTAGAGGCTCTAATGAACCTCATAATATGCCAGAGTGTGAGCTGTGTGAAACAATAGACATACAGGGCAATACTCCTTTTCCTTAGGAATCTATGCACGATATGGTGGTCCATTAACAGCAAAGAAAGGAGAAATCTGAAGTCCATGTGGAGATGACAGTTATGCCGGTGCAGGGCAAAGCCCGGATGTTTTCTCATCCTCCTCTTGTTTGTTTTTGCTGTAGATACATATGGAAAACTCTTCCTCCTCAACTGTGTGGGTCAAGAGATGTCCCGGTGCAAGACATCCATTCGGCGTGGTCAACCCAATCCTGTCTATAAAGAGACCTTTGTCTTCCAGGTGGCCCTCTTCCAGCTCTCTGATGTTACCCTGATGATTTCCATTTATAGTAGGCGCACCATGAAGCGTAAAGAGATGATTGGCTGGATCGCTCTGGGCCAGAACAGCAGTGGGGAAGAGGAACAGGAGCACTGGGAGGAAATGAAGGAAAGCAAAGGCCAGCAGATATGCAGGTGGCATACATTGCTGGAATCCTAGGCTTACCAAGAGGCATTTGTGTGCTATATCAGCCTTGAGTATCTGACACCAAGTCAGAGCATTATGTGTGTGTGTGTGAGGGGGGGTTCAAATTGAGAATTTTAATAATTTTAGGGCATTCTGTGGTTTAGAACATTATCAAAGGTTTGGTTTTCATTTAAATGTTGTAAGGAACGAAAAGCTACATGCACAGCCAACTGCACAGTTTGGGAACTGGTACTCTAGTTGAGACCACTAGTGATGTCATTATTTGTGCTAATGGATGACTGTGTTTGGGTTCACACTATGGGATGTAGTTTTTCTGCCTTTCTCTTTTTGCTGGGAGAATACACTGAGATTTCAAAGGAGCTGTGACATTACTGTTTTTCATCACTGGGGTGTATGAATCAGACTCTTCCCAGGGTTCAAAATTCCAAACTAGAGAAATAAATCAGACGCTAAGGGTTATAGAAAGATGTAATCAATCCACAATCCTCTGCCCAACCTACTCTGTTTATGAAAAAAGCCCTGTTTATTTAAAACGTAATTGTTATAAATTTGTGGTGTAAAATAAATTTGTATTCATGAAATGCCTCTTTTTTCTCATTTAGATCTCACGATTTCTAAAAGAATTGGGTTAGACAAATCATCTTGAAGTTGTAAGAGTTAAAAACTGACTGTTATCTGACCTCTTTTTGAATATGTAAAATTTCAAAAATCAAGGTTTTTGTGCTTTAGTTTTTACCAAATCAGTACCTAAACAAAAGAGAAAAACCAAGGAGATAATAAAGTCTTAGCTTTCTTGATGTTTTCAAATCTGGTATTCATTTGGATTATACCTTTTCTATAGTCAATTATATTAACTCACCCGTGTTTTTGTATGTACTCCTGCATGTCAGCCACATTCATCTTTATGCTATGTACCTTGCCAGTAAAATGCATACAGTGGATCTTAATAAATACTGATTTCATTGACTTGTGGGAATGAACATGTGAATTCCTCTGAGTGAAAAAATAACGTCATTTTGTATTCTTAGAGCATTTAAAATACCCAGCACTGCTATTTCCCACATGTAACAATATGTATTAGTGACTCCTTGTTTTCTGGCCACGTGCTGGTCAGTTGCCGACCTTGTATGGTTCTGGTCATATCCTTTCACTTGCGAGCAGCTTTTACATAGTTTTGCAGCACACTTTTATTTTCTTTATTCCTCAATCTGATCTCTTAATTCCAATGATTTTCACTTGTAGGTGATGAAGATGGGGAGGAATGCACACTTAACCCTGTGCCCAATGTTACAGGTTATCTGAGCAATTGCCCAGTCACTTATTTTTAGCTTTTCATGTTTTCTTGTTGACTTCTCTCCTGTCTGTGGGAAGAGTGATAGCTAGAGATGGATGTATATAGTCAAAGCCACACCGCTTCCCCGTCGGCTCCACACTTTGACAGATTGTAAGCGTAGGCTGCAATGCTTGGAGAACATGTTTATTCCTTGCAATTTGTAATGGCTATCCTGACAAGACCAGGCAAGGGCATGGGGTAACTCTACTGTGATCACAGAGATCAGATATTTGAAAGAAGTAACTTTATATGGATGGACAAGAATAAATTAATACCCTTGTTTCTTTTCTGGCCCTTTGCGTTTTCCCCTGTCTGTCTTGGGAAGACCCGAGAGTGCTTTCTCAGCATCATGCCCATTAACTGCCGAGTGCTCTTTGCAGTGTGACTATGTCACAGGGTAGAACTGAGTGCAATTGATGAAGAGCGGCGAAGAATCGGCTTTTCACATCCCTCCCTCTCTGTATGCCTTGTGTTTAAAGGGAAGTAGAGCAGCCTCGTTATGCTTCCCTTTATGCCACTGGCATAATAGCAGCATTCATTTTCGAATTTACATTTGAAAAAAAATCTGTATATATTGAACAGACAGCCCTGGATTTTCCTCGCTCATGTTTGCCTGCTCTACATGTTGCCTGCTCCCAGGGCTTTGTGGTCCCCAGTCATCACCTACGCTTTCTGTTCTGCTCCTTGACTTGCCTGGTTTTAGGGTTTTCTGCTGGTGTAGTGAGCTTTACGACAGTGCACATCCTTTCAAGAGGAAAGATGCCTGAAAAGCGTTTCCTCCACTTCTTAATAATTTTCTTTGTTAGTGCCACTCACCATAGCACACATGTGCATCTTGACTATCCAGCGGCGTTCACCCTCCATGGATGCTACAGACATCAAATTCTAAAGACAAGCTGCATTGAAATGGGAGGCTGAACATTTTTTTTTTAACCTCAATTTGAAATTCTGCTTTAGGAAGATCTTTGGATTGTGTGTACTTAGACTCTCTTATTTTCTTGGCAAAGTCTAGACCCAAATGCATTTAACATGTTTTTCACTTGAGCGTTTACAGCTACATTTGCCTCTCAAAAGAGTTATGAAAGATAATTAGTTGGATCTGTGGTGAGAAAGCTGCCTTTGCCTGTTTTCGCTACCTAATGATTAATATCTTGTGCAGAGCTCGACGTGGAAGCAAGGCTGGGTTTCGTTGCTTGCTAGCTCTTTCCTGAAGAGCGCGCTTTTAAAACAATATCATTGAGAATACAAGATGCACGGTTTATGGAAATGTGTTTCATTGTGGGCCTTCTTTCAGGGCACAGGCTTCCACTGACATGAGAAGGGCTGGTTTCACCAATCATGGTGGTGGCTGTTGTATTCTTTGATCCCTACTGACTATTTTTCTTCTTTTTCCTATTCACCACAGCAGACAAACACATGCTTTGGGTCCCTTCTCCTTCACTGGCTGCCTGTGTGAGATGTATGGTTGTTTTGAACCCTGTTCTTACTGATCAAGTAACTGTTGGGCAGAGGGAGTCCTGCTTTCCTTAACATAAGAATTTGTAATGCCCACAAATGTGGCATTCTCAGCATTCCACCAGCATGAAGCCCCAGAAATGTGCCATACCACGTTTGCAAAGAGGCATGACACTGCATGTGTGGTTATTCAACTTAGGTGCCATTGGCTATGACATGCGTTGATGACAGTTCTGGCATTGCTGCTGCATTAGCCACAGGGCTAGGTGCCACAGTTCTCCTGTAGCACACCTTCTCCCTTCTCAACATGTACACCCACAACGTTATACAAATGACTATTGCCTCTTGTTATTTGTGACTTATATTGTGGCTGTGCTGGAAGGTGTTATCTGAGAATCCAATTTCTTCTTTTCAAGTAAAGCATTATTTAAATCTCATAGCAAGTTGATTGATGTATTGATCTTTCAGTGTAGACATTGTGTGTATCCACCCAAACCTGGCTGTCCTTGCCGTGCAGAAGACTTAGTATATGAAAGTAAGGAAAGAGTCATTTGTAAATGACATGAAAACACATGGAAACAATTTGGGGACAGGACCTCACTGTAGCCCACTGGAACATACTGTATAGCCCAGACTTGCTTTAATCTTGTGATCCTCCTGCCTCAGGCTCCAAAGTGTTGGGATTACAGCAGCTACAAAATGCCATGCTTGGCTTGAGGGCATATCCTTTGCCGATAAGTAAATAGATCTGAAAACACATATGATGCTTCCCCCTTAATTTTGCATGGAACTTTGAGTAAAGACAATTCCATTCTAAATTCCTTGTCAGGAGCAAATGATAGAGGATCTTGAAATAACAAAAGAACTTTCATTGTCTGAAGAACTAATAATTTGTTTAGATATAGCTATAAAAACAGAGTTTGGAAGAGATAAAGAAATGAGTATGTGGGCATGTTTGGCATACATTAGTGTATATGCAAGAAGAATCTATAGATAGACCAAGAAAGGCATTTAAGATCAACCAGCACTCAGCAATAAGTGATGTCCTAGACAATACTTAAAGGTGGAACAAAACCTACTCCAGGCAGTGAAATAGGCACAGGCTATGTGGTCACAGCTTGGATTCAGATAGAACTCTGTTGTGTGGCCTTAAGAAAATGACCTAGCCAACCCACACCCCAGTGTCCTCAAGTGAAAAGCAGAATTAGTGCTTACCTTCTAAGTTTCTTTTAAGAGATATCAGTGAAGTCACAGTTGTCCTGTGACCAGAATAGAAGCTCACACAAAGCTAATATTCAGTATTTCCTCCTTACAATCATGCTTGAGAAAGAAGAGTTCAGGGTTGACTACTTTTTCCAGGAATGAAATTATAATACTAGGTGGAAACTCAAAGCATCTTTTTCAGGAACTTGGAAAACATACCTTCATGAAGCTGGCCTAGATTTTCACAGAAGGTAGATCCTGGAGCATGATAAATGAGTAAATTACATCATAATAGCTATCAACTGAGGTATAAACTACATCTCTGTTCTCTGTTCTCTTAGTCTGGAGGTGATGCAAAACCTGAATAATCTATGTTTACATCTTGATCAACTGCTCACAGGCCTTTCCTCAACCCACTCATAGGCAGACAGGGTGCTTACTGTCCTCAACAAAAAACTTGATGGACTTTGCCTATATATTTTAACTTGTTCTACAAAAATAAGCAGTGTAATTCGACAGTGACAGTCTTTAAAAGCAGACCTACTTTGAAGCCCACAGTATATATTTATATCTTTATAGATGAAGAATTTTCAGCAGTGAAATCTTAGGATTCGTTGTCCAACTGAAGGTTCCATTCAGAACCAGTTACTTTCCATTATTCCCGCTAGATCACAATGAGGAATTCCACCATCCAACAGAATGCCCTTTCAGTTTAAGGGTCCCTGGTTGATACAAGGGGAAGTATGTCCAGTTGTTTTCATGCGATTAAACTGCCAACAATGAAGATGTCCTTAAAGTTTAGAAAAACCTTTGTTGACCTTTAGCTCACAGAAGTCAGGGACAAGTTAACTGTTCCGGGTACCATGGGGCAATCATGGCCTGCATGGTGGTAGTGGTGGTGGTTTTGAGATGGGACCTAGGAATCTGAACACGACAAGTAGCTGAGGATGACCTTGAACTTCTGATCTTCCAGTTTCCACCTCCTGAGTGCTGGGATTATGGGTGCATACTGCCATGCCTGATGTCTGTGGTGCTGGAGTAAGGGTTTTGTGGATGCTGGGAGACACTCTATCCCCAGGCCAGGAGGGACTCTGGGATGGGAACCCTTGAGGCTGCACTTTCACCACTGTCAAGGTGTCAACATGCTTTGAATCCCAGGCTTCTCAATTTAGGGACAGCAGCACAGAGACACTGGAACTGGGTCATCTGGCTTAGTGCCAAATGGGGACAACTAGTAGGGATGGTAAATCTATTGGATGGGAGGTAGGAAGACATGGAAGTGACTTATGGTAATAATGACCCAGAAGGTAAAACCTTCCTGGAGAGGACAGTGTACATTTTCTGATCTTGGCAACATGGAATAGGGTCAGAGCACCCACAAACACTTGACGATGAGAATTTAATTTAGATACTGGCAAAATTATGTGGAGGGTGTTTATTAGCTTGAATGTATTCCTTGGATTTCCTCTTGCCCAGCACTGGATTATTTGGGATGGTAAAGAACTTAAAAATTGTTGTGAAGTCACTGGAAAACATTAAAACCACAGTGCTTAAGTGCTTTTTAGTTAGTTGTAGTCCAAAGTAGATTTTCTAGTGGTGGATTATGGGAAGGAAGTGAGACACATTTGTCTGAATGAATCAGGAGGAAACTGCTGGCGGTCCCTGAGTTGGGGGCCAGCCTTGGTTGCCGAATTAATTGCCAAGAAGATCCCAGAAGCATGGCTTTTAAAACAAGAAGTTGTGCCGGCAGTGTTAGTTGCTGAAGAATCAGAGGGCACCCAGGAAGCATGTCTTTAGCAGGTTTCTTCTAAATTTAGCATCTGGAATATAATCTCTACATTTCTGTCCTGTGTTCCTCCTTTTTGTAGTTTCCCCACATGGATTTTTCTCTGCTTCTTAGGTCTTCTCTGGGGAGTTGCTAGTTGGGTCTTGTTTGGGTAACACTGGGGTGCCTGCAGGCTTTGGCTGGCTCTCCTCTCCTATGGTGCATCGGCTGTAGGCTGTTTTCATTCCCCTTGGGTCAGATTGCCGTATCCTAGACACAGAGATGATAATCACCTATATTTACAGCCCACGTGGAACCTGTGCACAGCTTGAGATTTTACAGTGCAGACACGGGCGGCAGCCATGGAGGTCGATGGATGTTCTCAGAATCA